AGAGGCTGTGTGAGTCGTTTCGCCTTTTGTCGTTGTCGAAAAAAGTGTGTCTGATGATCGCTGTCGTAAGTGTGTTGTCGTAATTGTCGATATTTTATATAGATTTCTTAACTAAATTATTTTATATAGATTTCTTAACTAACCAATTGTCGTAAATACAGTCCACTAAAGACAGCTGAATTCAAAATTTTACGTTAGCTGTTTTCATAACAATTATTATTAGTAATTCCCTTCCCTATAGATTAATGTTACAGCGAAATATGTACCAACAAAAAACCGGAAGTATCTATATCTCTAGTTATTTTATTAATTGTAAAAATAATCATCAAAAAAGTATTAAATTTTATAAACAAGATAGATACAGTCTTACGTTAGAGTAATTATAAAATTACAAAACAACAGTAGACCGTGTTAAAGTTAGGGCTCCATGGGTATTGTTCGTATGTCGAACATATGATTTATTATGAGAATGGACAGTGGTCGGCAACCTTTTAAGAAGTTTTATTTATATTTTTACTAGTTACACTCGAGATTGCGTCCGTGTGGTCGAATGACCAGTGTGCATGGCAATAGTTGTTCATGCACTGAATTTTCATTTAATGTTAGACATAGACACCTATATAAATAAACATTGTAAATAAACTGGCTTTAAAAAAAAAGTAATTCAATTGAGTTTCTTGCCAGTTCTTCTCAATTGGATCTATATACCGAACTGGACGGTAGGGAAAAAATAAAATTATAATGTAAAAATTTGACGTTCATAAGCGGCTAAAATGTCCTACATGAATAAATGATTTTTGAATTTGAATTTGAAAAAATTTGAATTTGTGGAATTTTACTTTATTTTACTAAAATTCTTAAAAAAAACTCTTCTAAAATAAAACTTAAAGAAAAAACAGAATAAATAAAAATAATATACTGAACTGGTAGGGTAGGGTAAAAATTATGATAAATATAATTTGACGTTCATAACTGACTAAAATGTCCTACATGAATATATTATTTTATATTTTGATTATCACTATTTCGTATTAAATTATTATCTATGTTAATAATTATATTATTACTGATATTGTTAATTCGTGTACGATATATAAGAAGTCGCAGCACAGTTAAACTACAGGTAACATTATATTACATTAGCTATACCCGCGACTTCGTCCGCGTCGAATATGACTCTATTTTTCTAAAATAAAAGTAGCCTACGTTACTCCTTATTACATCAGCTACCTGCCAATAAAAGTCCCGTCTAAATCGGTCCAGCCATTTTAGAGATTAGCCGGAATAAACAGACAGACGGACAAAAATTATAAAAAATGTTATTTTGGTGTATGTACCGTATTTATATTCATATAAATGTAGTAAAAAACAGTTATTTCAATAATACAACTAGATACCCCAGTTTTATTTATATGTATAGATATGAAACTTTTATTACTTTTTCAAAGGCGAGATTATTGAAAAGTCAAGGATTAACATTTATATTTGATTTTATTGCGAGGAAAAACATTAGTATGTTATCTACGTACGTACGCACACACCCAATGAGAAATCTTTGTTATTTATGTACCATCATCTTATATATAAAAATCTCGTGTCATAGTTTTCGTTCCCATACTCCTCCGAAACGGCTTGACCGATTCTCATGAAATTTTGTGAGCGTATTGAGTAGGTCTGAGAATCGGCCAACATCTATTTTTCATCCCCCTAAATGTTAGGGGTAGTCCACCCCTAAATTTTTTATTTTTATTTTTTAGACAAAAATTTTTGATTGTAATTTTATTATGATACAACATACAAAAATACATACAATCCTAAATTTTCACCCTTCTATCATCAACCCCTATTTTTTTATAGCGTTATTAATTTATATGGCAAAACAACGTTTGCCGGAACAGCTAGTAACATTATATAAAATTCTCGTGTCACAATGTTAGTTACCATACTCCTCCCAAACGGCTTGATGGATTTTTATGAAATTTTATATGCATATTAAGTAAGTCTGAGAATCGGCTACTATCTACATTTCATACCACTAAGGTAAGGGATATCCATCCCAAAATATATTTTTTTTATTTGTTCGACATATATTCGGATTAAAAAATACATACAATTCTAAATTTTCACCCTTCTAGCATGAAACCAATTTTTTAATAATGATTTTAATTTATATGGCAAAACAACGTTTTCAGGGTCAGCTAGTAAAATATAAAAATAGAAAATATCATATTATATGTAGGTAGTTAGAACCAGAGAACAAGGTGGTAATATGTAGTAAATATGTGCTTAGGTACAAACAAAAAGCATATAACAGCGTAGGTAAACTAATAATTATGTACGAAAGTCAAGACCAAAAAGGTTGAGAACGCCTATAGTCGCATCAAAGACAAGTAAGTTAACCAGTACAAGGTTGCAGTGTAATTATTCTCTATGGATAGATATATAATTCTCTATATCCCTTTGGAAGACAATTATTAGAAATACATTATTATTTAAAAGTATGTTTATATTTTTTGGCGGGGCACCAGTGGACGATGGTAAGATGAGCATGAGGTCAACTTTCCAGGGGAACCGCGTGGAGGTCGACTGACGCGTTCTGTTATTACAAGGATATTGCGAAGAATTGCGACTCTGAAGTGGCAATGGGCAGGGCACGTAGCTCGTAGGACAGATGGCCGTTGGGGCAGTAAAGTCCTCGAGTGGCGACCACGGACCGGAAGACGCAGCGTGGGAAGGCCTCCAGCAAGGTGGACCGACGATCTGGTCAAGATCGCTGGAAGGCATTGGATGCGAGCAGCGCAGGATCGATCGTCGTGGAGATCTTTGGGGGAGGCCTATGTCCAGCAGTTGACGTCTTCCGGGCTGATATGATGATGATGACATGGATATTAATACAAACATACCGCTTGTAATTTTTTTTTATATTTATTTTCTAATAAGTAATTTTTACTTTAATTTATTATATTAGGTATCTAATGTCTTAAATAATATAAAAAAAAACAAACACATATGATAAAGTATATGGAAGAGCGGGATGTACCTGACACAGACATTTCTATGCTTACTCATCCCAATCATAGTCATCCCAACACTGTTATTATAATCGAATTGTTTTTTAAAGAAATAAACATTTTTTCATTTCATTTTCTGTTTGTAATGTTTTCTTTAGTCAGGTGTTGAAACTTTTTTATTATGAAGTTTAGAAATAAATTGTTTATTAAACAAATAAAAGTATAGCAATGAAATGTATAAAACTGTAAAATAATGTACTAAGTGACGTCGAATCTGCTTATCGAATTGGAATCACTCAACGGTCACCCATCCACCCGCGCGTCCCCGCCACTCGCTCATTAGCAGATAATCCGCGATTGTCAGATTAATTAAAGATGGACATCGAAATGTAGACTTATCTATGCATTTATGTATACATATAAATCAAATTAGAGTGTTTTGTAATATTGAAATAACCGTATTTTACTACATGGATTTGAATATAAATACCGTACATACACCAAAATTTTTTTTTTAGCAACTTTGTCTGTCTGTCTGTTTGTTACGGCTAATATCAGAAATGGCTGGACCAATTTTGACGGAACTTTTTTTGGCAGGTAGCTAATGTAATAAGGAAGTAATATAGGGTACTTATTTTTTATAGAAATACAGTTAAATTACACGCGGACGATGTCGCGGGTACAGCTAGTAAACAAAAAAAACCTAATATAGGCACTTTTAATATAGGAATAGTTACACCTATTGTTCTCATTCGGAAAGATACGAGAATGGAAATATTTTTTTTGGTTTTTTTAACATTTTACCAATGGAGCATCAATATACTCTACTCAAATTCCTGGCGAATTTGTGAATGGTGGACTAACTGACCTGACCTCATGCTCATCCTATCATCCTCCACTCCAGCATACTCCGTTTATGGAAGCACTCCGTAACTTTACTAACGAGGGCACTCCAAACTGGAAAGGACTTATGGAGTGGCTTTAGACCAAGTTTTTCCTAAAAGTTACGAATTCAGACACAGACAGATACAGAGAGCACAGCTAGGAGTCGAACTTCGACTCACATTGTCTTAATTCCGATCCCCGTTGGATTAGAACAGGGGATCTATCGGAACAATTTAGTCGTAAAAGCGGGACAAACAAACTCATTTTAGCATTTATTATTAGAATATTCCTAGTAAATACAGATTTATGATTCTTTGAAAGATGTCCATTAAACAAGTTGTGGAGTGTTTCTGCGTTATAAAAATGACAAAAACAAACAAAATATGAGCAGTAAACGGGTCGTTGAACTTCAATTACTCGTGTACAGTCAGTTAAATATATACATATACGAATAGAATACATATACATACGAATATATACATATATAGGTACATATAGAATCGATTTAAAAAAAATATTTTTTGCGTCGACATAAACGATTTATCGCCGTCTATGTGACACCTACATCTATTTATATTTTCTTGGCGAACTAACAATATTTCGCTTTCTGTATTTACTATTGAATTTTTATTTGTACAACTACAACCTAAAATTAAAAAGCTTAAAAAATATAATGTAATAACTACCTAAGTAACTTTATATTTATCAGATAAATAGCGAACTGTAAAAAAAATAGAAAAAATAACTTAATACGCGCGCAGTGCATTATAAGTTGATTAAAAAAAAAAAATAACTACGCGCGCAGTCGCGAGGCACTGCTCTATAAGTGCACCTGTAAAAAAAATAGTTAAAAAAGTTTTCTATATATAAAATAACTACAGCAATATTTCGCGCTTTAGGCACTGCTCTGATTCTATCTTAGGTACACACCTACTCACAGTTCATCTACTTCGTTTGTTTTATGCACCTACTTATTTACGGGATTGACTGTACACAATGAGTGTCTAACACTTAACAAGAAGTAATACAAACACGATCGTGTTATCGTAATCCGCTGCCGTTTCGGTGTCTTTTGCCATCATGATCCTTATGTAGATGAAATCAGTGTACTGACGAAGAGGTAAGAAAATCACTTTACCTTTAGGGTAGGGTTCCTGAAACGGAACTTCAAAATCCAAAATATTTTTTTCATGTAGTACATTTTATTATATGCCGCTTATGAACATCAAGTTTTTTGTATTAATATTTTTTTTGTGACCTTTTTTTATACTTCTACATCCCATCTGATGGTAAATGGTTACCGTAGCCTAAGAACGCCTGAAACACCAGGGGAGTCGCCTGCGTGTTGCCGTCTTTTAAGAAACTACAGCAATAGGGTTTTCTTAAAAACCTCATGCTGTAGTCTCGTGACAAAGTCTACTCCAATTACCAATATACAAACTCGTCTACATGATAAATTAATGACGAAATCGTCATAATGGGCTGGCTAACTTGACTTCATGGCGTCATGGGCACTTCTTTCATTTCAACGGCAACCAACTTTCCCAAGAATGTTGCGAAGATTTTTGCGCATTCTGCAGATCTTCCTTTGTGCAGGATGCTGGGCACAAAGGACAGGACAATAGGTGGGCTATAGTCTGGGTTGGTGCTCCGCAGTCACAAGCTTCCCTTGAAGAGACAACCCATTATACCAAGTTGTACCTGCCCATCTAGGTTCGCAGTTTGGGCCATCATAGCACTATTATTCTCCAACTTGGCAACATTACAATCAATTAAAAAAAAATTCTGCAAATTATAAAAAAATATTCGTATACGGAATCCTGTAATATAGGTTCGTAAAGATAGCTTTGTATTTTTTATTTCACTTTCTAAGAAAAAGATTTTTGGTCATATTTTTTTTTAAATATTTTGCCAACAGGATACGAAACGTAAATATGGAGTTAATTTAGAATATGTAATATTTACTTATCTGCGGTTTGGAATATATATTCGAAGTAAAAAATCACTTATACATATAGGAAGGATTTTTGACAAGTCTATGATTTTCATTTCCTAGTTACAGACACATTATTAACTTATACTTTATTAAAAAATATTAATATTATATATCTCGGGACAATTCACACAACGCCACCTAGTCCCAAGCTAAGCAGAACTTGTGTTATGGGTACTAGACAACTCATATAAATACTTAGATATTTTTTTTGTAAATACATACATATAATATACATAGAAAACACGTAGTCCGATACAAACAATCATACTAATGAATTTGCACCGTGCGAGGAATCGAACCCGCGACCATCGAAAGTAAAGCGATGTGCTAAACCGCTAGACCACCGAGGCCGTCATGTCATATATCTTTATTTTCTTAAATAAGAGTGACTTTCATATATGGTTGAGAATACTGCAGTTTTTTTTTAAATAACATGCAGCCATATTTGCTAGGTTTTGAAATCGTTTGAGTGTACTTTATTTATCTATTACAAACACAACATAAAATATTCCCTTTTTGGTATATTAGTTTAGAAAATGCAACAGCTGTACAATAATATCAAAAGTGCCATTTAAAATCTTATTGTGTGTACATCTGTCAAACCTAATATGGCAAATGCAATTTTAGTTGTAATTTGCAATATCTGCTTGTAACAATAATTTATAAATGCATACTTTATGGCAGAATACATATTTATGTCGTAACCCCATTGAGGTCATTAACCAGTAATGTTAAAAAAAAAAAAACACCACAATGGGCAGCAGAGAGATGTGCCCGCCATCAGTGGTCTATATAAACATCACCTGGCGAAATGTATCACAGTGCGTCCGTAAAACTAGAGCAGTGCGTTTGCGGTTTTCGAACGAGTTTGCGCGCCAAAATTCGTGTGTTTGAAAAAAAGTTATCGGTGTTTATTTTTTATTTAAAACAAAAAATTTGTGTGAATCTATTTTTTATAAGGAGGTTGGTTATTTTTATGTGTATTTATTCAATGTTTTATCAATCAGTGAGCCAAATATACTATATCGCATATATAGTACAATACTGGTGTAATTCAGAAATTTGAAATTCGACTTTAACATCACAGTTACAAAGTGGACTTTACCAAATTTGTAATTTTTGAGATAAGCCATTATTATAATAAGTGTGCGATATCATTACATAGTATAAAATAAAGTCGCTGTTGGTCTGGCCATTCCTATATATGCTTAAATCTTTAAAACTACGAAACGGATTTTGAAGCGGTTTTTTTAATAGATAGAGTGATTCTAGAGGAAGGTTTATATGTTAATGCATGTACCTCCGGGCGAAGCTGGGGTCAGTAGCTAGTTACAAGATGTAGCAATAATATTATTGTTTTACTTTTAAATATAATTTTATACGATATTTTTATATTTATTTATTTATTTAAAACTTTATTGATTTTGTACAATAGCCGGGCTTAATGCTAATAGCATTCTCTACCAGCCAACCTTAGGGAGTGCAGAGATACTCATATTTTTTTACATTTTTAAACAATAGCTAATTGAACGTCAAAATGAGAATAATATCATGTCATAGTAGATTAATATCTTATTTAGATATATTTGAATTAACTTTAAAATTAAATTAATACACGCCGAAATCTAAGTTCAAGCATAATTTAGTACGAGAATAGAATGTGTCACTCTGTTTTAGGTCCAGAACTTGTATTATTGTTAACATTACAATACATATTGTCTTATCTGAGCTTTTACTACATCATGAGTATGCACTTGCTTTTTGTATATCATTACATAGTATAAAACAAAGTCGCTGTCGCTGTCTGTCCGTTCCTATGTATGCTTAAATCTTAAAAATTACGCAATGGATTTTGAAGCGTTTTTTTAATAGATAGAGTGATTCAAGAGGAAGGTTTATATATATAATACATGTACACCCGTGCGAAGCCGGGTAATACATAATATACCACAGAAAACAAATAAAGAAAAACAAAATTAATAATTAAAACTAATTTATAAAAAACATTACTATTGTACGAGTAGTAAAATTAAGAATTTCATGAATTACTGGACATTAATTATTGAATAATAATAAACAAATGAAACAGAATATAACAATATATTTATTGATTTATTTATTTGTTACTTTTTACTGCACCTATAAACATATAACAAACAACATATATATGTTGTGTGAAGATACAAAAGGCAGTCTTATTCCTAAAATGATTTCTTAAAGACAACTTTATACCTATGTTAAATCCATAGTCAGCATCAGTAGCAAAAGTAAATCAACAGATATTTTTAAATTGATATATATTTCAAATCTGCACAATATACAGGAATTGCAGTACCAAAATAATTGAAATGTATTGAAATGAAATGAAATATTTGAAACTTAAAAACTCATACATAAATCTTAGGACTGTAATTATGAACTATATTTAGTTGAAAGAGCAACACGCAAGTTTTTTTGATGAGTCTGCGTTCCGAATAATGAAATATGACTATTCAAAAGTGCGTATATTAAGTTTATTTGAATAAAGATTATTACTATTCCTATTTCTATTTCTATATTGTATATAGAATGGTTGTAGAAATGCAGTTCTTAGAGTAAGTAACAACTGTATTTCTACAATCATTCTTCATTAATTCCAATAACTTTATTATGAAGTCATGCAAAAAATGCATTTATGAAATGAATGGTTACATTTATTTTTATAAATGTGACAATTATTCTAAGATACAGACAAAAAATGAATCCATTGGTTTAGGAGATACGATATCAGAGACAGACACACTTGTAACACCCCATAATCACACCTAGCACTTATTTTGGATGATGACGTGATCAATATGGTTCTTAGTTACAAAAAAGTAATTTTTTTCGTATTTTATTATTGAGATCATAATTAAATTTAAATACAAGTTCCTTTATCACAAGACAGTTTCCTCCCTTCTGATCGATCCCTCGTCCAAATCAAACCGGGACCGATGTTACGACGGCTTGAGCCGAGGTTCGAACCCCTAGCGGTGCCCTCAGACTAAAGTCGTATCCGTCAGGCGGGAGTTGGCCTTCAGCCGCTCCATAAACTTTGGTTTGGAGTGCCATATATATGTATGTGTCAAATATTAGAGTAGTCCGAAAAAAAACTATGTCCTGTAAGTTTTTGCTATAGTACGTATATATCTTTTTTTTTATATTACTAAAATAAACTTAAATTTAAGCACTTTATAACAGTCACACTTTTCTTAATCTACTACACATTCGGAGAGTTAAGAAGAGAAGAGAGTTAAGAAGAACGAACAAGAAACTTTGTATGTACGGAAGACTACGCGATGTCTAAGATGAATCTTGGTGGATTCGTTACCTCTACAATAAGCAGCTCTAATCACCGTGTACAGTCAGCAACATATATTATACATGTCGAAATTCGTACATAATTCAAATTAAACGATACCGAGATTCTGTTGCCAAATAATATTAAAGACAAACAATTTTAATATATTCATAGTTTGACCATATACTATAACAATAAATATAAGAGTATATATGTGTGTGTGTGTGTCAAATACATGGTAGAGAGCAGGGATGTTAAGGAGCTTCGTAACCGTAAGCGAAACTATCGGATATCCGATGTAAAAATATCCGTAACCGTAACCGAATACGAAATAAAAGTTCCGGACAATATCGGATAGGAGCGGAGCCTAATTGAGACACATTATGTAACCATTTTATTAGCTATTTGTATTTTACTTTTGAAATTTCTTAAAACATTAATATCAGTAATCGAAATTATCCGAAACTAACAGATAATCCGAAATAATTTCATATCCGTATCCGTATCCGTACCTGGTATAATTATCTTTCCTATATCCGAAACCTATCCGTATTCGAAATTTCTTATCCATGACAACCCTGGTAGAGAGTGTAATGTTTTTAATTAATTTAATGTATAAGTATAATTTATCATAATTTTAATAAATATTAACATTCTGCAGTCCTCCTCTATATAAACTAATAGCTTTTGCCCGCGGCTTCGCTCTCGTTAATTTATCCCCTTAGGGGTGGAATTTATCAAAATCCTTTCTTAGAGGATGCATACGTCATAGTAGATTTATGCATGCAAAGTCAGCCCAATCGGTTTAAAATTGACAAAGTTTCATCCCCTATTTTATCCCCTTGTGGGTAGAATTAATCAAAATCCTTTCTTAGCGGATGCCTACGTCATAACATCTACCTGCATGCCAAATTTCAGCCCGATCCGTCCAGTGGTTTGGGCTGTGCGTTGATAGATCACTACGTCAGCCACCTTTGAGATACACAAACACAAACTTTTTGCTGCACATATTAATATATAGATTACTAGCTACTTGCTCCGGGTTCGCACGGATGTACATATATTATATATTCCCATGGTGTTACGTACTGGATTGCAATACCATAATTAATAGCCAGTCGCTTAATCTATCTAGATAAAGATCAACACATGCGTTTTTTTTATCTATTTACCAGCTACTCTCCCTGGCTTCGCACGGGTGTACATGTATAATATATATAAACCTTCCTCTTGAATCACTCTATCTATTAAAAAAACCGCTTCAAAATCCGTTGCGTAGTTTTAATGATTTAAGCATACATAGGGACGGACAGACAGCGACAACGACTTTGTTTTATACTATGTAATAATGATAGTAAATGGTTAATTAAAAATATTTTTTTACTAATAATAAGCGATCTTTACTTTTTATTCTTACCTTGACAGCCTCGGTGGTCTAGTGGTTTAGCACACTGCTTTACTATACGATAGTCGTGGGTTCGATTCCTCGCACGGTACAAACATTTGTATTCCTCATGAATATGTGATGATTGTTTGTATTTCTCTGGGTGTTTTCTATGTATAATATGTATTTATTTACAAAAAAAATGTATCCTTGTATTTATATCAGTTGTCTAGTACCCATAACACAAGCTCTGCTTAGCTTGTAACTAGATGGCGCTGTGTGAATTGTCCTGGGATATTATTATTATTATTTTCTCTTCATTACTTTTAAATTTAACTATTGTATGGGCAACAGCTGTGTTTTTGTTTGAGACAAATAAATATGATTATTATTATATATCTTCTCGGTTTTGGACGGGTGCGTACTATATGTATATGTTGGAAATCTATAACTAATACACTTTGGTAGACTTTGTAAAAAGTCGTCTGCGTGTGTACCCCAGTCTCGGCTATTTGAGTCGCCAAGCAGCTGGCTTGGTAAGCAGTTTTTTTTATGGATGATAATGGAATGGTGCACCCGCCTGCGCTAACGGTTTATGTACGCTGGCGGGGCACCAGTGGAGGATGATAAGATGAGCATGAGGTCAGGTCAGTTAGCCCCCTGAAAACCATCGTGATAAATTCTTAGTGAACCGCGTGGAGGTCAACCTGATTTGGTCCATTGCTAGCAATGGAGTTATCAATCCACATTACTAACAAATTTTTTTACCCCTCGTTAAGCTGTGTTTCGGTTGTGGGGTGTAGATTAGGCAGAGTCTAATGGAAACCATGATGGTGGTGGCAAATTCGTGATGAATTTGCCACGGTGGGCTAAATGACCTGACCTCTTACTTATCATTGCTAATGGTATAATTTTGGCGGGGCTGGTGTCTGGCACCAATAGAATAATTCACCAAACTGGTATCAGTTTGGTGCATTATTCTATTATCATCCATTACAAAAAGTAACACTTACCATCAAGTGGGTCTAATGGGTAAAAAAAGAGTCATCAAAACCCGCCAGTTCTGTACACAGCTACGCGAATAGATTCATGTGGACGGCGTCCGTTTATCAGCGCAGAAATCAAATAGTCCACAATTGTGGACGATTTTCTCACGAGAGGAAAGTCCAAGATACAATCTCGGTGATGTAACATGAAAATTGTTTGTTGTTAATTAATGTAATTTGCATCTGCTTGTGTCTCACGGGATGAATCTGTTGTAATAATGTGGTACTGGCTGCTTCATCATCAGCATTATCATCGGACTTCTTTCCATCCATTCCATACTGCAGCAGTAATCAGAGAACTTTTTCGCGGCCTCGGTGGTCAAGCGGTTTAGCTTTCGCTTTAATTCCGATATTCGCGGGTTCAATTCCTCGCATGGTGCTAACATTTGTATTCATGAGTATGATTGTCACCATCTTTCACACCATCTGTTTAATTTCTTATGTACCAGTGTATAGAAAAAAGGAATATATTTAGTAATTTTTTTTTTTGTTTCATTTATCCTTTAAAGGAAAGGCAAAAGGAAGTACTCCCATACAGCCAATCAAATTATTATGTGATTTTTGTGTGACGATATACGTTGACAAAGAACAGATCAAGATTCATTAATTAATATTTCATATCCATCCTAGATTTATTTATTTAATCTTTTGCATGCAAAATTGTATACATGGCGGATCCAGGGGGGAGGGGGTCATGACCCCCCTGAGCCCAGGACTTAGGTGAACCACTAATTGAACATAATGATTTTATTCATATATTAAGTCACCATACAGATTTTATGTAACTACATCCCTTCCATATTAATTAATTATGTTTAAATAGTGCTTCTCTGGATGTCTTCAAGAGAAGATGGCAATATATACTAGTTATTATGTATTAAGTTTTTCAAGTGTACAATAAATAATAAATATTTTTAGGTACTGTACATAAGTACAGTACCTAAAAATATTTATTCTTTCTTAGTAGACACAAGTAAAAAGTAGGTATTTTATAAATGTACTTATGTACAATGTATGTTATCAAAATTAAATTATAAGTTCTTGACTTGACTACGACTGTGTGATCCCCTCCTGGCGCCAAAGTGGGATCTGCCCTTGCAAGGCGGACTAAATGCCTAAGGTCTATTAAGGTTATTGTACGTATGTTATACTACGTTATACTCGAAGGTCCAATGTATTTTTTAATAATTAATATAATTATAATCTCAGGACAATTCACACAGCGCCATCTAGACCCAAGTTAAGATACAAATACATAGATATTTTTTTCCTACATATTATACATAGAAAAGACCCAGACCGATACAAACAACCATACTCATGAATACAAATGTTTGTACCGTGCGAGGTATCGAACCCGCGACCATTGGACGTAAAGCAGTGTGCTAGACCGCTAGACCACCGAGGTCGTATGTAAGTATCATGTATGTACATATTGATGTTAACAATATTTTTCTTTTTCAGGACATTCTGGACATCATCATGACGGTGTATTACAAGGTAAAACTAATATAAAAAATTATCTACTCACGGTATTTGTAACAAAACTCCTCCGAAACGGCTTAACCGATTCTTATGAGATTTTGTGTGTGTAGTCAATAGATCTGAGATTAGGAAGTAAAATATTTTTCATACACATAAGTGATAAGGGTGGAATATTTTTTTTTAATGATCCGCTAATAAATAATAAATACAACCCGAAATTAGCACCATTTGACCATCAAAAATGTGGACCATGTTTGTTGACCACCAATATTAATTTATATAAATTAATATTGTTTTTAAAAAAATTGTGGTTGATGAACGTTTCCCAGTCAACAAGTTTTCCCAGTCAGTTTGTAATTTTTAATATTTTCACAGGTATTTTAATTTAAATCAATATTGTAAATGAGTGTATCCGTCTGTCCATCATACGTCACTGCTAAACCGACCGAAAAAGACGATGTAATATGAGCATGGACATGGGCTTTTAGGTCATTTGAATGATTAAATCAGATGGAGTAATTTATTATTAATTAATAGATTAATTTTAATACTTTATTGTTAATCAATTGATTAATTTTTTAGTATATTATTAATTGATTAATTTTAATACGTAGTTTATTATTAATTAATTAATTTATTTTAATAATTTATTGACAACGATTTGGTCGACCTCGGTGGTCTAGCGGTTTAGCACACAGTTTTATGTCCGATGGTCGCGGGTTCGATTCCTCGCACGGCACAAACATTTGTACTCATGAGTATGGTTGTTTGTATCGGTCTGGGTGTTTTCTATGTATAATATGTATGTATTTACGAAAAAAAAGATCTATGTATTTGTATCTTAACTTGGGTCTAGACGGCGCTGTGTGAATTGTCCTGAGAATATTATTATTATTTATTATTAATAATTCCATTATCATCTATATTTTTACAATCCCATAATGTTATAGAAATAACAACCCTGGACAATTCACACAGCGCCATCTAATCCAAGCTAAGTAGAACTTGTGTTATGGGTACTAGACAATTGTAAAAATTAGTTAAATATTTTTTGTAAATACAGCCACATTATACATAGAAAACACCCAAACTGATACAAACAATCATAATCATGAATGTACAACATATATTTGGACCATGCGAGGAATTGAACCCGGAACCATTGGGATTAAAGTGGTGTACTGAACCGCTAAACCACCGCGGTCGTCAACATACCGTCGTCCATATATTGTAACCTATAATATAGAATTTTTTATTTGTCTTACTTAATGCCATCTTCGTATATTATGATATCATTAGATCATCTCATTACGCTGACATAATAAGCAATGTCACGGTATGAGCACAGTTGCATAATCAGCTGATTGTTTCAAATTATAGTAGGCACTAGCTGAGCTCGCGGCTTCGTGCTCATATAACTTTTTCGTTTGTACACTGATTGGTATAAAATAAACACAAAATTTTATGTAAAGCTTACCACAATGTACTAGTGGAAACCTCATCCAATTTGGTTTAGCCGTTTTTGAATTTGGCGCTTGCAAACTTACAGAAATGATTGGTATAAAACAAACAAAAAATTTAAGTGAACCTTGTGTTATATATATATTAGTCAGCTAGGAACATTACTGTAGAAGTGCAACCCCAAAAGAGCTCTCAGTGTATAAAATGGTGAACCGTTGTTTTATTTTTATTGGAAATGTTCAATATCTTATTAATATTATAAACGCGAAAGTTTGTAAATATGTATGTGTGTCATCTATTTAAATATATATGATAAACACCTAGTGAAACACAACTAGCCCTACGAAAACTTCTGCTGTATCAAATCGCAGCTGAAGTCAATACATGTTATTAAAAAAATAATAATAATAATGTCAGTGAAACAAATAAAATAAATAAAAAAAAAAAAACGCGAAAGTTTGTGAGTATAGATGGATGTTCGTAACTCTTTCACACAAAAACTACTACACTAACTATTTATATTACTGTAGAGTTTCATTAAAATCCGTTCATTTTGATGAAACTCTACAGTAATATAACTTACGTATTAGAATAACACATAGGATGTATTTTTATTGAAATTTAACGCAACTGAAACAAGCAGATGAACTAGTAAAAAATATTCGATGTTCATAAGCGGCTAAAATGTCCTACATGAATAAATGAGTTTTAATCTTATTATGTACTTGTTATCTGAAGCTAATAAACTAGTGCTAGTTGGTGGTTTGTATTCGCACGTTTCGAATTGGAAATGTAAAATTACAATGGTTATTAAAAGAGCAACACGCAAGTTTCTTGCTCGTTCTTCTTGTGATGAGACAGCTATCCGAATGAGCGGTAGATTAAAAAAATGATAATGACTATTCAGATGTGCTTAAATGAAGTTTATTTGAATAAATGATTTTCTTTTATTCTTTTTCTCTTTATTTTTTGGGATTTTTGTACACAAAATTTGATTCAAATTCAAATTCAAATTCAAATTCAAAAATCATTTATTCATGTAGGACATTTTAGCCGCTTATGAACGTCAAATTTTTACATTATAATTTTATTTTTTTCCCTACCGTCCAGTTCGGTATATAGATCCAATTGAGAAGAACTGGCAAGAAACTCAATTGAATTACTTTTTTTTTTTAAAGCCAGTTTATTTACAATGTATATTTATATAGGTGTCTATGTCTAACATTAAATGAAAATTCAGTGCATGAACAACTATTGCCATGCACACTCGTCATTCAAGTAATCGTTTAGTGAGTAATAGGCTTTGCTCAGTAAATATGATTTAACAGATGTTTTGAATTTATTTAAGGGTAATTCCAACATATCCTTTGGTATCTTATTGTAAATTTTTATACCTATTCCCATAAAAGACCTATTAACTTTTTCTAAACGATACTTGGGGACAGCAAGTTTGTCTTTAAATCTTGTATTAATATTATGAATATTGCTGTTTTTTGGAAATAAGTCAAGATTTTTATGAACATATAGGATATTTGAATATATAAATTGAGAAGCAACGGTGAGAATATTTGCCTCTTTGAATTTCTCTCTTAATGAGTCACGACTCTTCATACAGTAGATCGCTCGAACGGCACGTTTTTGTAATATGAATATATTTTTAATATCTGCCGCTTTTCCCCATAGTAATATTCCATAAGAAAGTAAACTATGAAAATAACTAAAATAGACTAATCTAGCAGTATCAGTATCGGTGTACTGTCTAACCTTACGCACGGCAAAAGCTGCTGAACTTAATTTCGCTGCAAGGCTTTGAATTTGTGCACCCCATTGTGTTTTATTATCTAGTGTGATTCCTAGAAAGACAGTAGATTCTATAAATTCGAGAGATTCGTCATTTAATTTAATATTGCAATTAGTATTAAAACTTTTAGACAGAGAGAAATTAACACATTTTGTTTTTTTAGCGTTTAACATAAGATTGTTAGTTGTAAACCAGTGCAGGAGACGCCGCAAAGCACTATTTACATCGTCATAATTATTAGTCATTCTATTAACTTTAAAAATCAATGAAGTATCGTCTGCAAATAATACTATGCCGCATCTATCCTGCATGGTATATGGGAGATCATTAATGTAAACTAGGAATAAAAATGGACCGAGAATAGATCCTTGAGGTACACCCATTTGCACAAGTGACCCGTCAGACGTAGCGTTGCTAACCTTCACTTTCTGTATTCTATCAGATAGATAAGATTTTATTAAATTTAAAGCATTGTCTTTGACGCCATAAAAAGCAAGTTTTTTTAGCAATGTATTATGATCAACGCAATCAAAAGCCTTAGAAAGGTCACAAAAAACACCTATCGCATCCATTTTAGTTTCCCATGCAGCAAATACGTGTCTAAGCAACTCTGCACCTGCGTCTGTAGTTGAACGACCTTTGGAAAAACCGAATTGACTATTGTGGATTAAATTATTTAAATTGAAATAACTGACAAGCTGCATAAGGATTATTTTTTCAAAAATTTTACTGAGTGCTGGGAGTATAGATATAGGTCTATAATTTATTGGGTCACTCCTATCTCCAGATTTAAAAAGCGGTATGATTTTACTAATTTTCATTATGTTAGGAAATTTACCTTCATCTATACATTTATTGAAAATAAAAGCAAGAGAGGGCGCAATAATTTCCATTATACTATCCAGTATTTTAACAGATATACCCCATAGATCCTCTGTTTTTTTATTATTAAGCTGTTTGAATATTTTCATTATTTCTACTGATGATGTATGTCTAAAGTTAAATACAGCTGATGACTTGCTAACATTGTCTGTTAGTAAAGTTTCAGCAGCAGACGGGGAAGATTTTAGAGCCTGTGTCGTAATTAATGGAATATTAGTGAAATAAGATTCGAATGTATCCGCGACCTCTGTGTCGGAATTTACCAATTTGTTATTAATATTTAAAGCTATTTTGCTATTTTGAAAATTAACTTTTCCAGTTTCGCTATTTATTACTTTCCAAGTGGCTTTTATTTTATCTTTAGATTTAGTTATTATTTTACCTAAATAGAGAGACTTAGCTGTATGACAAACCTTTTTAAATATTTTCGAATAAGATTTTACATGTTCATGAAATAAGGGATCGGATATATAGCTTCGTTTTTCGTAAAGTTCGTAAAGATTAGCCCTAGACTTATAAATACCAAACGTGGCCCAGTCACAAAACTTTGATTTAACACTAGTTGAAAAGGTTTTTGTTTTAAATTCACTGCTAGCTTCATGTTCAATTAAATTAAAAATATGTTCACATACAATGTCCGGGTCATATTGAGGTACTATGACACTAGATATTTTATGTTCAATTTTATTTTTAAAACGTGCCAAATTCTTTTGTGTTATTTGTCTGCATGTAATTGTTTGAGTCCCTTTGGATCCCTTAGTTTCAATTATAACTTTTTGTCCATAATGATCAGATCCAAGACAGTCGAAATTCATTTTCACCTTTACTTCACAATTACAAAAAACATTATCTATACAAGTGGCAGAATTTC